GTCTGTTTTCACTTCACAAAGTTGTCAAATTAATATGCACGGAATTCTGCCAAAAAAATATATCAAGAATGTGCATAATGCCAGAGTACTTGTGTTTTCAATGTCATTAAAATCTGACCAGGGATATGCAGAAAATTTCACTTGAACTGAACCAAATGGGTGCCAAGATATCTAAAGAGATAAAAAATTAATACATTTAATATAAATACTGATAGAATTACATAAAAATAGGCCAATGGCCTGTTGCTCAACGACTATTGTACAAAAGATTAGTGCTGTATATGCCACAACTTTTCGTTTAAATTTGTACTTTTAAAAGAAATATTGCCAAACAACCACACAAAGTTGTCAATGGAATAATAAACACATGTATGCCTAACACCAAAGCATTGGAAATAGTAGTTAATATGTCATCATGAAACCACATTTCACACTTCCTGTCAATTTTCTAGCAAGTGCGAATGAACACCGGAAATAGCCATCGTGCATAACAGATTCACAATAAAATTATTAGATTTGATTAGTCGAGGTGGGATTTCTTTAGCGTTGTGGTCAACTCATTAGCATTGTGGGCAAGCTCTCAGAGTAGCGACATATTTTTTACTTCAGCTATGGCGTGATCAGTGGATTACGTAAATAAACCAACACTTTCAATGAGTACATGCCGACCTAAATAAACTTGTTTATGGCTGTTTATGTTATAACAGCACGGACGCATTTCATAGAACAATAGCTGTGAAAATCATAGACAAATGTAAATATGCAAAAATAAAGCAAGGCGACAATGATTTTGAGCTTGACAGAGTCTGGCAAGCGTGGCTGTCTCAGAGCAGTGCAGCATTGCGTCAACACCATTACGACGTTTGAATCCCGGAGTGAGCACTGCAAGCCTCTTAAATCACAAAGTAAACTTTCAATTTACACAATACATAATCAGTTCTTACAACAATAAAAGAAAGGCAGTTTTTCTGGCAAAGCCCTCACCAGGTTAGCAAGAGTTTCTCACGATCACCAAACAATAATTAAAAGTGTATAAATACCAATAATAAGCACAGTTTCTTACCTTTGAAAATGACAAGACAGAATTTTGCCCATATAAGCGTTGCGCAAAGAAGATACAATTCCGGAATACAATATCCTCACACGAAAATTATGGTGATTTCCACCGAGACGAGAACTGCGCATGCATCATCAAAACTCGGAATAAACTCGGGAAAAGTCGGATTTTCCAGCAATTTTGATGTTAAAATGTTAAAAATCAAAGAAAAACACGGTGAAACTTTAAAGAATCAAAAAAAATAACTTGATGTGCCTAATAACACCATCAATTCTTGTCTCTGTACCAACTCTGAACTAAATTGGATCACACATGTGTGAAAAAAAGCTGGTAACGTGAATGTGCACACACGGAAGTACAGACACGACCCAAATTAATAATGAACAATATGTATAGTATCAAAGCAATCAGACTTGCTGTTTTCAACAAGAATTCAAAAATACTAAAAATAGAGAATTAAAGATATCATTACAAAATGAACAAATCTGAGAGAGGTCCACATGTAGTACCTATATATGTAATATCAAAGCAATTGGACCTGCTGTTTTCAACAAGAAGACGAAAATTTCACTTTTTACCAAAAATGACAAAAATATTCACTAAAATTAGAGAATTAGAGAATTAAAGATATCATTACAAAATGAACAAATCTGAGAGAGGTCCACATGTAGTACCTTATATATGTAATATCAAAGCAATTGGACCTGCTGTTTTTAACAAGTCGAAAGTTTTACTTTTTACCAAAAATGACAAAAATATTCATCAAAATTAGAGAATAGAAGATATCATCATGAAACAAGTCATTGAAAATGACACAGTCCCCGTTAAATTTTTGAAAGTTCACTTTGTGCTCGTCATATTAAAGCGGAGGGGATGTCGCGAGAGTGTCCTTGAAACTTGAGTTCCAAGTGGCGTATACACCAGATTGTTTATTTACATCAAAATACGTGTTCCGTGTAGTAGTAATATGGCCAAAAATAAAAACAGCCGTTATTCGGCCATCTTTGATCTGATTATGAAACACACTGATATGTATGATGTATGTGCCAAATACAATGAAAATGGTACATAAATTGTGGAAATATAGTAGTAAGGCCAAAAAGTTAGATGGCTGTCAATCAGCCATCCTTGACCAGATTTTGAAACAAATTGTCATGGACATGCATCCTAACATGTATAAAGTACAT